GCGGGAGGCGAGAGCGGGGCCGGCGTGGCGGCAGCAGCGGGAGGCGAGAGCGGGGCCTGTCGCATTAGCAGCGGCGGCCTCCTGGGTGTCCTAGCGATAGAACGGCGACCGTTGTGGAGATGGGACTTGGGAAACCGAGATCCGGACTTTATTTTCTTTCACTTAACTTTTGGCTCTGGTAAATCTTTTAATTCTGGTTTTTGTAACCAAATGCGCGCCAGTGAATCGTGACTTTGTAGAGTTTTCACTGTACATATGTACTTTGTGCATATGACAAATAAATAAATCTGTCTCTCTCTCTCTCTTCGTCAGGGACACTGTTAAGGAGTCTCTGCATCTCACTCTGTCAAGAGCCCTGTTTAAAGAGGGAATCCCCCTCTTTCTCTCTGTCGCAGTCCCTTTTTAAGGATGGAATCAGTCTCTCTCTCTCTCTCTCTCTCTCTCTCCCCCCACTCCCCAACACCCACCTCACCCGACCCCAGCAAAACATGGTCACTGACAGAAAGACTCCTTCTTAAAACAGGGTACCTGATGGAGAGTGGGAGAGAGAGAGAGACAGAGAGACAGACTCTCCCTTTAAACAGGATCCATGATACAGAGAGAGACTCCCTCTTTGAACAAGGCCCGAGAGACAGCTAGAGAGGGAGTATTCGCAAGATAAACTGCCTCTTTAAAAAGGATTCCTGAAACAGAGAGCGACAGACAGACTCTCTGACTGCCAGGGACCTTGCTTAAAGAGGGAGTGTATCTGTATCCCTCTCTCACAGTGACCCTGTTTAAGGAGAAGTCTCACTCTCTGTGAGGGACAGTGTTTAAAGACAGAGTCACTCTTTCTCTGTCAGGGATCCTGTTTTAAGAGAGACTCTCCCTCACTCTGTCAGGGACCGTATTTAAAGCAGGAGTCTGTCTCTCTCCCTCTCTTTCTGTCAGGGGCCCTGTTTAAAGAGGGAGCCTCTCTCTCATTCTCTCCCTCCCGCCCTCCCTTTCAGGATCCCTGTTTAAAGAGGGAATCTCTCTCCCTCTCTCAGGGACCCTGTTTAAAGAGGGCGTCTTACTCTCTTTTTCTCTCTCTGTGTCAGGAACCCTGTTTTGCAAGGGAGTCTCCCTCTCTCTCTGTCCCACAGTCAGGGTCCCTCTTTCCTTCTCTTTCTTGCTGTGTCAGGGATCCTGTTTAAAGAGGGAGTGGCTCTGTCTCTCCCTTCCGGTCAGGTACCTTCCTTAAAGAGGCAGTCTCTCTCTCGGTCGAGGATGGTGTTTAAAAAGGGAATCTCTCTCTCTCTCTCCCCGATTCTGCCAGGGAGCATGTTTAAAGAGGGAGTCTCTCTCTCTCTCTCTGTCAGGGACCCTGTTTAATCCAAGATGGCGGTCAGGGTAAGTCACTCCGTTTGGAGCTCCACTCTGCCCGCCAGTTCCCTTTCCTTATCCTTTCTTTTCTCTCCTCTCTGCAGTAATTCTATCTCTTCCACGCACCCCCGCTCCCTTTTAACTACCTACCTAAGGAGTTGGGCCGCGACAGGGAACCACATGGGGAGAGCTGAACGCACAGGCCATGTCCTGCAGTGATAGTGGATTGAGCGTGGGCCGGAGCGATGGTGAGAGCGGGGCCGGTGAGGTGACGGCGGGAGGCGAGAGCGGGGCCGGTGAGGTGGCAGCAGCCGGAGGCGAGAGCGGGGCCGGTGAGGCGGCAGCGGCCGGAGGCGAGAGCGGGGCCTGTCGCATTAGCAGTGGCGGACTCCTGGGTGTCCTAGCGATGGAATGGCGACCGTTGTGGAGATGGGACTTGGGAAACCGAGATTCCTACTTAACTTTTGACTCCGTTAAATCTTTTAATTCTAGTTTTTGTAACCAAGTGGGCACAGTGAATGGTGACTTTGTACATTTTTCACTGTACTTAAGTATTCCTATACTTGGTACATGTGACAAATAGATAAATCTGTCTCTCTCTCTCGCTTTGTCAGGGACACTGTTTAAAGGAGTCTCTCCATCCCACTGTGTCAAGAGCCCTGTTTAAAGAGGGAGTCCCTCTCTTTCTCTCTGTCAGAGTCCCTTTTTAAGGATGGAGTCTCACTCCCTCCCCCAACCCCAGCAAAACAGTCACTGACAGAGAGAGACTCATTCTTAAGACAGGGTATCTGATGGATGGTGGGGGTGGGCAGAGAGACAGAGATACAGAGACTCCCCCTTCGAATAGGGCCTGAGAGAGAGAGAGAGAGCACGTGCAAGAGAAACTGTCTCTTTAAAAAGAGGGTTTCTGACACAGAGAGAGAGAGAGAGAGACAGAAACAGCGAGCTCGAGAGGGAGTCCCTCTTTAGGCAAGGTCCCTGACAGACAGTCTCTCTCTCTCTCTCTCAGAGACCTTGCTTAAAGAGAGACTCTGTCTCTGTCAGGGACCCAGGGTAAAGAGCGAGTCTCGCTCTGCAAGGAACCCTTTTAAATGCGTGAGTGTCTCTCTGTCTGTGAGCGACTCTGGTAAAGTGGGAGTCCATCTCTCTATCTGTCGTGGACCATGTTTAAAGAGGGAGTCTCTGTTATGATTTCTCTGTCAGGGAGCCTGTTTGATGAGGGAGTCTCTCTCCCTGTCAGGGACTCTGTTTAAAGAGGGAATTTCTCTGTCAGGGTTCCTGTTTAAGTGGGGAGTCTCTCTCTCTCTCTGTCACGGTCCCTGTGTATAGAGGGAGTCTCGCTCTGTAAGGGATGCTTTTTTTAAAAGAGTTAGTCTCTCTGTCTGTCTCAGTCTGTGAGGGACTCCAGTAAAGAGGGAGTCCATCTCTCTCTGTCAGCGACCTTGCTTTGCAAGGGAGTCTCTCTCCCTCTCTGTTGCAGACCCTGTTTAAAGAAGGAGTCTGTCTCTCTCTGTCAAGAGCCCTGTTTAAAGAGGGAGTCTCCCTCTCCCTCTCACTCTTACTCTCCAACTGTCAGGGTTCCTGTTTAAACAGGGACACTCTCTCCCACTTTGTCAGGGACCCTGTTTAAAGAAGCGGTCTCTCTCTCTCTGTCAAGGATAGTGTTTGAAAAGGGAGTCTCTCTTTCCCCCTTTCTGCCAGGGACCCTGTTTAAAGAGGGAGTCAGTCTATCTATCTGTCTGTCTGTCTCTCTCTCTCACCATCACCACCCCAAGTCAGGGGCCCTGTTTAAAGGGAGAATTTCTCCGTCCCGGACCCTGTTTTGCAAGGGAGTCTGTCTCTCTCTCTCTGTCAGGGACCCTGTTTAAAGAGGGAGTCTTTCTCCCTCTCTCTCTCGCTGTGTCAGGGAACCTGTTTTGTGAGGGAGTCTCTTTCTCGCTCTTTCAAGAACACTGTTTAAAAGGGGAGTCTCTCTCTCTCTCTCTCACGCCTCTCTGCCAAGGACTCTGTTTAAGGAAGGTGTCTCTCCCAACTCGGTGTCAGGGAGTATCTCTATCTCTGTCTTTCTCTCTGGCTCGCCTTCTATCAATAACAGTACTGCGACGAGGATGCAGAGATCCTTCAGCATGACCTGGACAGGTTGGGTGAGTCGACAAATCGATGGTAGATGATGTATAATGTGGATAAATGTAAGGTTATTCACTTTAGAAGCAAAAACAAGAAGGCAGATCACTACCTGAATGGCTGTAAATTGAGAGAAGGGAGTGTGCAGCGGGACCTGGGTGTCCTTGTGCATCAGTTGCTGAAGGTAACCATGCAGGTGCAGCAGGTGGTAAAGGAGGCAAATGGTATGTTGAGACAACAAGGTGCAGGGCTGGATGAACACAGCAGGCCAAGCAGCATCATAGGAGCAGAGAGGCTGACGTTTCGGGCCTAGGGCCTTCATCAGAAAAGGCCTTCATTGCGAGAGGTTTCGAGTACGGAGCAGGGGTGTGTTATTGCAGGTGTACAGGGCCTTGGTGAGACCACACCTGGAATACTGTGCGCAGTTTTGGTCTCCTTTTCTGAGGAAGGATGCTCTTGCTCTGGAGGGAATGCAGTGAAGGTTTACCAGGCTGATTCCGGGTCTGATTTCTGAGGAGAGATTGACTAGGTTGGAATTGGTTTCGCTAATATTCAGACGAACGAAGAGTGGGATCTCATACAGACTTATAAAATTCTAGCAGGACTGGACACGGTAGATGCAGGGAGGATGTTCCCGATTGGTGGGTGTGTCCAGAACCACGGGTCACAGTATGAGGATTCGGGGTAGACCATTTGGGACGGAGATGAGGAGACGTTCTTTACCCAAAGAGTGGTGAGCCTGTGGCATTCATTACCACAGGAAGTAGTTGATGCCAAAACATTGAATGTATTCAGGAGGCGACTAGATATAGCACTTGGGGTGAATGCAATCAAAGGTTTTGGGGAGAAAGCAGGATTAGGCTATTGAGTTGGATGATCAGCCATGATCGTGAAGAATGGCGGAGCAGGCTTGAAGGGCCAAATGGCCTCCTGCTCCTATCTTCTATGCTTCTATGTAAAGTGCGAGTCTCTCTCTCTCGCTCTGATAGGGACCCTGTTTTGTGAGGGAGTCTCTCAGTCTACCACTATCAGGGGCTGTGCTGAAAGAGGGAGTCTCTCTTCTCCCTCTCCCAGTCAGCGGCCCTTTTTAAAGAGGTAGTCTCTCTCGGTCATGGACCATGTTTTGTGAGGGAGTTTCTCCCTCACAAGAGTCCTGTTTAAAGAGGGAGTCTGTCTCTCTCTATCTCTTTCTGTCAGGGACTCTGTTTAGAGAGGATGTCTCTCTTTCTCTCTCTCTCTGTCAGGGATGCTATTTAAAGAGGGAATTTCTCTGTCAGGGAAACTGTTTAAAGAGGGAGTCTCTCTCTCTCTGTCTCTCTCTATCAGGGAACCTGTTAAAGTGGCAGTGTCTGTCTCTCTCTGGCAGGCAGCCTGTGTAACGAAGGAGACTTGCTCTGTAACGGACCCTGTTTAAACAGTGAGTCTCTCTGTCTTTCTCTGTCTGTGAGGGACTCTGGTAAAGATAGAGTCCATCTCTCTCTCTCTCTCTGTCAGGGACCTTGCTTAAAGATGGGGTCTCTCTCACTCGGTCATAGACCCTGTTTAAAAAGGAAGGGCACTGGATATGTTCTCCACAGTTGATCCCTCCTGATTTTCGATCACTCACCCTTTCCATTCATTTGTGGCCAGCAGGTATTGTCTTGAACTCTCCTTCCTGACGTCCAGCGAGCAAAACGTGGCGAACTCCTTCGCAATCTCCGCGGGACTCGTATTCCAGCCCCGACGCACCTTCACCAACAGAATCGGAGGTCGCTCAGCCTGTGGGTCAGGCCCTGAGAGGGACTGGGAAATACATGATTTACAGCCAGCGTCAACAAGCAGCACACCCAGGGCAGGGGCAACACTGTTAGAGATAGAGGAAAGCTTCTTCTACACAAACAGAAATTAAAGATCGCTCTACAGAGATCCATGAAACACACCCAGGACAGAGACAGCAGATTGTAGAACTGGAGGAACAGAGCAGGCAAGTCAGCAGAGCAGCAGGAAAGTTGATGTTTCGGGTCGGGACCCTTCTTCAGAAACAGTTTTAGAAACAGAGCATACAGCCATACAGTACAAGAATGGGCTCTTCGGCCCATAATACTGTGCTGAACAATGTCAAATTAAATTAATCCCTGCTACCTGCCCTTGGCCCACATCCCTCCATTCCTTGCATATTTGTGTGCTTATTTAAACGTCCCTTAAACATCCCTGTGTATCTGCCTTCAATACCACCCCTGGCAGCATCTTCCAGACTCAACAACTCTGTGTAATAAACTTGCCCCTCACATCTCCTTTGAACTTCCCCCTCACCTTAAATGCATGCCCCCTAGTACTAAAAGTTTCAACTTTGGGAAAATGATTCTGAACATCAAACCTATCTATACATCTCAGAATTTTATATTATTTCAATCAAGTCTACCCTCAGCCTCCCCTGCTCCAGAGAAAGCAACCTGAAATCCTCTCCTTATTGCTCATACCTTCTGATCCAGGAATCATCCTGGCAAACCTCTTCTGCACCCTCTCCAAAGCCTCCACATTCTTCCTGTCATGTCGTGACCAGAACTGAATGCAATATTTTAAGTGTGGCCTAGCTGCAACGTAACATCCTGATTCTTGCACTCAATGTCCTGACCCATAAATGCAACATGCCATACGCTGTCTTTACCACCTTGCCTACAAGGGGCCACGAAGTAGATAAACGGTAGACAGTAGATAGACTAAAGCTGCCTCTACACTCCTAAACAGAAATTAAATCTCCTATGACATTGTCTCCATCAAATACTCAGGTCAGAAATAGCACGGGGCTAGACACAGAGTAAAGCTCCCTCCACTCTACTGAAGTGAAAATAAAGCTTTCTCTACTCTTAAACTCCAAGCAAAGCTTCCTCACCACTGTTCCCATCAAGCACTCTCAGGACGGGGATAGCAAAGGGTTAGATAAAGTTCCCGCTACAGTGCCCCCATCAAACACTCGCAGGTCAGGGTCAGCAGAGGGTTAGATACAGAGTAAAGTTCTCTCTACAGTATCCCATTAAATAGTCTCAGGTCAGGGACAGATACAAACTCCCCTACACTGTCAATAAATGTAATGTGAAAAATCTGTCAGGACATATTTTCAAACTTTTGTATCTTCTGCCCGACGGAAGAGAGTATAATTGGGGTGGGAGGGGCCTTTGATAACGTTGGCTGCTTTCCCGAGGCACTGAGAAATATAGATGGAGCCAATGGAAGAAAGGCTGGTTTGTGAGACCGACTGGGCTGTGTTCACAACTCTCTGTAATTTCTTGCGGTCTTGGGTAAGAGCGTTGCCATTCCAGGCCGTGATGCACCCAGGTAGGATGCTTTCTATGGTGCATCTATAAAAACTGGTGTTCCAGTTTTTGGGGAGGTGGAGAGGGTGGTAGGGTCTAGCCAGAAAGCTCTGGGCGCTTTGGACTGCACCCACACACAATTCCCGCGCGTACCTCGACTCACCGTGAAGGAGACACGTGCCCTGATCAGATTGACGTTGTTCTCGTAAGGCCCGAGTACAGCCAGATACTCCCCAATCTGCAGGGTCCTGGGTTCAAAGAGGCTGGGGGGCAGCATGGGGGGGAAAAGAGAGAGAGAGAGAGAGAGAGAAAGGGAGAGGGGAGAGAAAGAAGGAGGATTTATGACTTTTGCAGTATTAGAAAAAAAATGACTGTGGTACATCGGGTTGGCAGGTAGCTTGTAGGATCAGACTGTACTCTCATTGTCTCCACGCAGATAGAGCCCCATCACCATGAGTTTGTGGATGACACAAAGAGAGGTGGAGAGGGATTGAGTGTTAAGGGAGCAAAAGGACTTGGACAGGCTCACACAGTGGGCAAGGAAGTGGCACATGGAATATAATGTGGGAAAGTGTGCACTTCGGGAGGGAGAAGAGACATAGTCTATTTTCTAAATGGGGAAAGGCTTTGGAAATCTGAAGCACAAAGAAACTTGGAGTCCCAGTTCAGGATTCTCTTAGGATTAACATGCAGGTTCAGTTGGCAGTTAGTAAGGCAAATGCAATATTAGCATTCATTTCATGACAGCAAGAATGCAAGAGCAGGGGTGGACTGCCAAAGCTCTGCAATGGAATACTGAGAGTAGTTTTGGGCCCCGTATCGGAGGAAGGATGTGCTGATGTTGGAGGGGATTTACAGGAGGTTTACAAGAGCAATCCCAGGGGTGAAGTGCTTGTTAAATGAGGAGCAGTTGGACAGTCTGGATCTGTAGCTGATGGAGTTTAGAAGGATTGGTGGTATCATATTGAAGCTTACTGAGTTTCTGAGAGTCCTGGATACATCGGACATGGAGAAGATGTTTCCATTAGTAGGGAGACTAGGACCCAAGGGCACAGCCTCCGAGTGAAGGAATGACCCTTTAGAACTGAAATGAGGAGGAATTTCTTCAGCCAGAGGGTGGTGAACCTGTGGAACTCATTGCTGCAGAGGCCAAGTCACCTGGTGTATTTAAGACAGAGATAGATATGTTCTTGATGAGTGAGGTGATCAAAGGTTACAGGGAGAAGGCAGGAGAATGGGGTTGAGAAACATATCAGCCACGATCGAATGGCAGAGCCGCTGCGATGGAATGAATGGCCTAATTCTGCTTCCGTGTCTTATGGACAGAACCAGATCCCATCACATGGTGGGGAGAGAGTCCCGAAAGTGCGTAAGATTCGGAGGTGAGGGGAGAGAGAGAGAGACAGAGAGAGAGAAGAGACAGACAGACAGAGAGTGCACACAAGGGGGATGGGACGGTGTCTCTGAACGTTTGCTTGCGACCACCAGACCTACCCGCTCTCATGGGTCAGGAGCAGCTGAGCCAACTGCAGCACGACTGGAAAGTGGAAAAGAGGATGGAGACATGTTAATCTTTGCCTTCCACCTTCCCACCGCATCCCCCAACCTCGGCACATCCACTGACAACCTTCCCCTCCATTCTGCCCCCTCTCCCTGCAACTCTTGGACGGGGATGCTCTGGTTCCAAACCTCCTGCTGTCTATGGCCAGGGAAGGACTGAAAACCCAGGAGTGTGACGTGGAGGGAAACGGGTTTGCTATTGTGCTTCCCTTGGTCTCTCCAGACTCAAGAATGGACTGAGAAAGCCACTTGTGAATAAAGCCTTCCCTGCCCCTTGTCCCATGCTCTCCCCTACAAGTTGACGGTGTAGAGAGTCAGAGTTTTTATGACATAAAGACAGGATCTTCGGTCTATTGTGTCCATGCCAGTCATCAAGCTTCTATTTATTATAAACTCATAGCCTTCTATGTTCATATATGTTACATGTTCATATAAACACTTAAGAGTCACAGAGTCATACATCACCAAAATGGACCTTTCAAACCCAACTCGTCCATGCTGACCAGGTTTCCTAAACTGAACTAGTCCTGTTTGCCTGGGTTTGGCCCATATCCATCTAAACTTTTCTATCCATGTACCCATCCAGATGCATTTAAATGTAATTGTACCAGCCTCCATCAGTTCCTCTGGCAGTTTGTTCCATATATGTACCACCCTCCTGTGAAACAGGTGCTCCTCAGGTTCCTTTTAAATCTTTCCCCTCTCACCTTCAACCTATGTCCTCTAGTTTCAGGCTCCCCAACTCTGGGGAAAAGACCTTGGCTACCCACCTAATCTATGCCCCTCATGATTTTATAAACCTCAAAAAAGGTCACCCCTCAGCCTCCTAAGCTCCAGGGAAAAAGGTCTCAGCCTATTCAGCCTCTCCTTATGACTCAAAGCTTCCAGTCTCAGTAACATCCTTGTAAATATTTTCTGCACTCTTTCCAATTTAATAATATCCGTCCTAAAGCAGGGTGACTAGAACTGTATGCAGCATTCCAAACGTTGCCTCACCAATGTCCTCTACAGCCGCAACTTCGGCACTCAAAGCTCTGATGATGAAGGCAAGTGTGCTAAATACCTCCTCTGCCACCCTGTCAACTGGTGACACCACTTTTAAGGAAATGTATATGAACCCCTAGGCCTCTTGATTCGAACAAACTCTCCAGGGTCCTACCATTAAATGTATGAGTCCTGCCCTGGTTTATGTGACCAAAATGCAACATCTTTAAATTGAAGTCAAATTAAATTTAAATTAAACTCCATCTTCCACTTCTTTGAGCGCATCAAGATCCTGCTGTACTCTCAGACAAGCTTCTTCACTACTATGCCACCGATTTTGCTGTCATCCGCAAACTTACTAACTATGGCCCCTGTGTTCTTACCCAACTTGTTGAATAAATGACAAACAACAGTGGACCCAGCACCAATCCCTATGGAACACTGCTGGTCACAGGTCTCCACTCCGAAAAACAACCCTCTACCACACCTGGAGCACTATGCATGGTTCTGTCACCATATACCTTGTTTATAACACACTTAGAGCACTGTGCACAGTTCTGGTCTGCGTATGTCTTGGTCAGATCACATTTGGAGCAGTGTGTACAATTCAGGGTCTCCATATTTATAAGAAGGGCAGAGATGTTGATGAAAAGTACAAAATTAATTTGCAAAGACATTCCAAACACGGCGAGGTTAGAGGTAAGAGTGAACAGACCAGAACGCCTCTTGAGGAAGGAGAGGGCTGAAGGTTTAACAATATCCTTTAAGATGAGAAAGGGTACTCGCTTTAGCAGGGAGGGGTTGAGGTGAATAATACTGACATACTGAAGGGGGCACTGGATTAAAACGCGATGGAGGAAGGATATAGCGATGGGTGGGATGAAGTGGAGGTAGGAGGAGAAACACCGGCACAGAGCTAATGGACCGAGTAGCCCGTTTGTGTGATGTGAATGTCATTTAAATGCAATGTTGAGGAATCTTATCAGCAAACCTGTCCCACAGATAAAGGCATCAAATGCTGCTTCATGAGGATAGTCACTTTGGGCTGAAACAGAAAGACAGAGGTTAATTAAATTTCAGCAGTGTCTGTCACCAACTGGTGTCTCTTAGTCTCTCCTTCTGGACTCCCACACCCTTGGAAAAAGAACTTGGCTATTCACCTTGTCTACGTACCTCAGGATTTTATAAACCTCCATAAAGGTCACCGCCTCAACCTCCTCTGCTCCTGTGAAAAACACCTCAGCCTATCCAGTCTCTCGTTATGACTCAAAACCTCCAGTCCCAGTAATATCCTTATAAGTCTTTTCTGTACCATTTCCAATTTAGTAATATACCTCCTACAGCAGGATGACAAAAACTGTACACAGCATTCTAAAAGTGGCCTCACCAATGTCTTGTACAGTCGCAACATGACGTCCCACCTCCTGTACTCAATGCTACGACCAATGAAGGCAAGCATGCCAAATGCCTTCTTCATCATTGTCTGCCTGTGACACCACTTTCAAGGAACCAAGTACCTGAACGGTTAGGTGTCTCTTGTTCAACAACACTCCCCAGGGCCCTGCCATGAATTGTAAGTCCTGCTCTGATTTGCCTTACTAAAACGCAGCACCTCACATTTATCTAAATTAAACTCCATCTGCCACTCCTCAGCCCATTGGGCCATCTGATCAAAATCCTGTCATACTCTTAGATAATCTTCTTCACTATCCACTATACCACCAATTTTGGTGTCATCCGAAAAACCCCTAACCATCCAAATCGTTGATATGAATGACAAGGGAGTCCTTAAACTCTTTCCGAGTTCTAGACTACCATATGTCAAGAAATATCAGTGTCCTCTCCAGACCCCTGAGAATCTTACACATCAGTTCTCCCTCTAACATCCAATGGGTAAAGACCTAACCTGTTCAACCTTGCCTCATGGTATAACGCTTTCATCCTAGGAAGTAGAAAGAAACTTCTCTGAATTCATTCCGAAGTAATTCTATCTGCTCTGAAATGAAGGGGCCAAACCTTACGGAGTTCCCAGATGATATCTCACCAACACCCTGTTACAGCTTCAGTAAAACTTGCCCAATTTTTTTTATTCCATTCCCCTCACAACTGACTACAACATTCCACGTGCCTTCCTCATCATTTATCATAGAATCCCTACACTGTTGAATAAGGCTATTCGGCCCATCTAGTCCACACTAACCTCAAAAAGAGCATCCCATCCAGACCCAACTCCTCCTCTATCCCTGTAACCCTGCATTTCCCATGGAAAATCCACCTAACCTGCACATCTTT